TAAGAAACTTATTCAGTCTTCTATCCACAAATGTATTGTTTGTCACAGATATAAATTGTCATCTAATAATCAATTAATGGCAATTTTAGAGTTACAGTAAAAACTGTTCATGGTTATTTTAAAAGACCTATAGTAAAACTTTTACCATTGCCAATGCATCGGGAATGACCTATTGTTAATGCAATGGCAAGGGTGGGAGTTAATGTTGGATGCATATTTAATATTTGCATTTCTTTTTTTCTTTGTATATTTTATTTCCTCACTGCTTAATTTTATGTTATGATTTTTGCAATAATCTTGTTACTGGAAACGTGCTTTATTTTACAATTAAATTTGTGTGAGTGGCAAAGTTAATGATAACTATAAACAAGGGCTGTGGAGTCAGTATCGAAAATGTCCAACTCCAGCTCCTGCAATTATTCTCCAACTCTCTCATATATATGTAAACATATACACATGTGTCATAGCTTATTTTTTAAATACAAAAGAAGTAATAGATGCTACAAAAAAAAATGATGACATAGCAGATTATTTATATTAATTAGCATTTATTATGAAATGGGAAAACTGGCATTAGTAATTTCTAAGAAACAGTATAGCTTTGACAAAAGACCGTAGATCTGATTTGATATACTTCAGAGCTGAGAAGTCTTTCTACACTAATTTCAGTAGAAGGAAGAGCTGTTACTATTAGGGCTACTTCTTTTAACTTTTCAGGATAGCTCTGTATAAATTCTAAAAGAGGTGTCTTGCAAGAGCGATCATATTTTTCTATTTCTTCAGGGGCTGTGAAGAAATCTTGTTCGTACTTCTTTTCATTTTTATATCTAAAGTCTCTTGGTTCTTTACTTTCATTCGCTTTGCCTTAATCTTTACAATATTATCCAAATATTTCTCAAAATTTAATTCACCCATGGAAGAAGATGATAGAGACTCAATTGCAATGTCTGCAATCTGTCTTGATTTGAATACTCTTAATCGCTCTGAGAATAAAATCACGCTTAGTGAAAATCCATAGAGGACTTTCTCTGCCTTTTTAATTTGTTCGCCATCCAACAAAATTCGGTGTTTTGGTTCTACATATACTGAACCTAGCAAGACTTCATTGTCTAGCAAACTAGTTTCTCTTCCTTCATTGAGGAAATGATTCCTTCTGTAATAAGCCGTCCCATTTTAGAAGGAACAAACATCACATTTTTTCCATTCTCGCAGAAACAAGCCTGTTAATTCTTCAGATTATAGCTTCTTTGTGGCTCCATATGGTGTAGAAAGAAGAGTCCAATTCTGCAAGATCATTCCAGTCTTTCTGTTAGTGAAACAATAGGGTTTATCTATATCTTCTAAAACAGTTCTTAATTCTAACAACCTCTTTATCATCAAATATGTACTCCCCCATTGTGTTGCTTGATCAATAATTGCTCTTTTTCCTGCTTGCCTCCTAAGAATGGACTAAGAACTAATTCTAAGAACTTTTGGGAGTCTTTGCTGCCACCCTAAACTTAACAATGAGATTGATAGCATGGGTACGAATAAGATTTGTAGTATTTAATGCATTTAGCAGCCATGGGCTCCTTTTCCTTGTTGTGAATTATGCTACAATGATGCCATCTATGAGCTGAAGAAGTAACTAAATGAATAAGTTTAATGAATAATGACAAATATCACATCCATTGTTCTGCCTTATATTTATTTATTAATATGTTAATGAAATGGAAAATAACTAAATATTATGAATGTATAGAGTCTATAAATAAAATAATGTGTCATTAAACTTTTTTTCAGTTCACTTCAATTTCATTTCAAATTGAAACTGTGCAACATAAATGGAGTCAAGAGTCTTATGTGTTTTTAGAGGCTCCAGCTCCGACACCTTTTACCCAAAACTCTGATTCCGACTACATCTCCACAGCCCTTCTATAAACATAGTTCTGTATTAACTGTTTACAACCATAAACATAAGACAGTATAAAAAGGACTCGAGTTACATGACACGGAAGCACTTCCGCAGAGAACCCGGTAATTGTAAACATCGCCAACTTTGGCTATAATAGTGCAAACCTGGTAACCTAGCTAATACATCATATTCGCTTGTGCGAAGGGTTGTCGTTGTTCTCATTTGGAGATTTATATTATTCTTCTCTTATTATTATTTTTTCTGAATTTTTTAACAACGAATAGATAGAAATATTTTCACATAATTAAAGAAGTTTTCATCGAAAAATGCCGGTTCTCAGCTTGTCAGTTCAGGATCAAAGGAAGAAAATATGGCGGGAGAGGTGAATGCTAATTTGTAACATAGCTGTTCATGTTATGTTCTTTATTATTAACAGCCGTAAGCACGCAAAACCATGAGTTTTCCAACCCCTATAATAATTTTTAAAATGTATAAAGTTCTAGTTTTATCAACAACAACAATGCTACTGAAGAAAATTTGATTACTGTTGAAGGTTATTTGTATTGTGAAATATATTATGAAAAAGGACAGGTATTTGTTTCAACGTAAAATGCCTTAAGCTGTATGCAAGTAACTTGAAAAAAAAAATACTGAAAAGTATGTATTAAAGGTCATGCATTTATTAATTTATTACATGGGCTCTTACCGAAATACATCAATCAACAGGCAAAATGAAAAAAAGACACCCATATGTTTAATACATTGTTTTCTGTGCTAACTTGAATTTAATACAAATTTATTTTCGTATATCACGTTTAACCTGTTAATTTTACATCTACATACTTATTATCTGTGAATTTTTACTACCATGGTCTGCTAACTTGAATTTATATACACTAAAAACCACGTTTACGGCTCGGCTCATCAGCTTGGCGAGTAAAAATGCAACGCCGCCAACGGGTTCTTTCCCGAAGCGCCAACGGGTTCTCTGCGGATGAAAACCCCATGACACAACTGAACTCATCATCTGTCAAAAAATTGGCACATGGTATGCTAAAGGTTTGCCATATTGGCACTAAAATCTCTAGGAATTTACAGTGAAAAAGATCTTCTAAAGGTATTCAATAATTTCCCTGCAGATTGGTAAATGCTTTAAAAAGATTTGTTTTGCTATATGTTTACAAATATTTTAAATTTCATACAAATCTGCCTGCTTTTTGTTACATAAATATGAACTAACTATTAACAGTTGCATACATTTATTATTACATTACCTCATTTTATTACAGTTAAGCCCAGTATCTGCTGGTTCATTATCTGTGATTTACATATTGTCGGTTGGTGTGGGAATAAAAAAAAATCATAAGTTTAGACATGCTTGTCAAAGGCCAAGTACGTAACACAGTAAAAAAACAGCATTCAGACATTTCTAAAACTGTCTTCTGCTCAATTCAGAAAATGTAATATTAGATTCACTAGTAACCTAGTAAATTAAGATCACTGAATGACGACTGTTTAACCTGGATTTTAATTCAAGTAAACAGGTTTGCTGCTTATGTATTCTCATGGTTTTTCCTACATGCTATGTCACAGAAAACCTTCCATAAAGGCATGCCTTCCTATCATAATAAGTCCTAGGGCAGACCTATTTTTGCCTCATGCAAACCTTTCACTGTAGCTAGATCATTCCCCCTTCCTTTCAAAAAGTGAAAAATACATGTATACATTTTATTTAGATTATTTTAAGTATGTGTTATAAACAAAGCAAAAAAAAAAAAAAAGTTTTATAAACTAAACAACAAAAAGTATAGAAAATGTTGATAAATATAAAAATAAATAAAAAAAGTAAAAATAATAAATAATAAAAGTAGTCTTTTTATAGTCACAATTTTAACCACTTGATCACAATTAATTAAAGTTCTGAAATCACTCACGCAGTTATAATTTTATGTATATGCCTATAGTGTCAAATATTTACCTTGCATACAGTTAGAAACTAAAGTGCAACCAAAATTTATTGTTTTCTATTTTAGCTCCTAAAGTTTATTTTTCGTTCAGCTGTAGTTACATGTTAAACATATTTACTGGCTCATATCCATACAAAGGTGTAAATCAAATTGAATGAAACATTATTGAAATGGGGGAGGGAAGGAAACACTTAAATATAAGGAAAACATGGTTATAGTTCTACTTCAAATTATTTAAATGCAAACTGATATACAAGATACATCACAGCAACTCAAAATGAAAATCAATTTTGAAAACAGAACAAACTGGAGTTCATGTACGATTCCTTAAATTGTATACATAAATGCAATTTTTAAAAATATGGATGTTTATGCAGCATATATGTTTACAAAAAAAGGACTAACACTGATTTGGTTAACAGAAATCATAAACCAAACTGCTCACCAAAAGCTCCCTAACATTAAATATAGATTAACATTAATATATATAACATTTAAATAGAGACAACATAAAACAAATTATTCTTATTGACATTAACCAACAATTTAGATCACCCTTATGATTTAGTTATATAAAACTTACGAAACAAAAACAGATCAATACAAGACGCATTATAGCAAATCAAATTATGGAAACAGAAAATCAATTTTATAAACAGAAACAACATCGAGCAGATAACATTTCTTTAAACTGCATGAATAGAAACAGCAAAAGACAGACTACGATTGTCTTTTCTAATAAAGAGAAGTCGAAAACTGCATTGTTTACTAACCAGCACTATAACACTTTTCAAGAGAAATGACATCAACGTCCTGATTATAACAAACTGTAATTCACGTTAAACTTATTATTCGTTATTACACATACTTCCTTAATAAACACAGAATGATACTCAATTGATGAAATGTTAAGCCTGCTGTGTATGATACAAAGTGTATCATTTCGTTATTTCGTTTTAAATCAGTGTTTCCAGGGTAAATACACGATGTGGAAAGCAATCTCAACACATGATTCAGATATATAAAACACTGTGAGAAAGAGATATTTTATATGCTATAAACGCAATTTTAAGTATTATTTCGAAAAAAAAATTTCAAAATATTTACTATATTTATAAAACAGTACCAATAAATATTACCTCATCTGAGTATCCAAACAATTCATAGAACAGCTTTAACCCTACTTCAATTTTGTTATGTGGCTGTAAACCCACTTCCATACTTGTTTTCATATCGTCATACATATATTTCACATAATTTTTTCCAATTCTTTGCCCAGGCCGACCTGGGAACCGTAGGCGCGCCATTTTGATGATTAAAGCATCGCATCTGAATATGGCATCAAATTGATTCAAGGTTACTCTTCTTTTTACGTTCTTTACATGTGATTGCCGTTTATATAAACGTACATGTTTAAAATACATAGAGGAAGTGAAACTGAAATAGAATTATACAACAGAAAAACAGACAGTACAGATGCAAAAACTGTCAATCCGTACTCTGCGCGCCAAATTCAACATCAAATACACAAATCTAGTCCATGATTGAAGTAACAGTGTCTATCCGTCCGACGTCGGACGGTTAACCAGTTCACAACGGAAGCACTAGAATTATGATCAATTGCGCAGAGACGCCTTTACTGATTTTGCGATTTATCTAGGCGTGGCATCTAGCGCCATTTTCTTTTCGTTGGTGGTCGGATAGCCGAATTGAAATTAATTTTCTCATATATATTTTACTTAAATGAATACGTCCTTGAATGTAATTATTCATTTTAATGTGAATTTTATTTTTTTTATGCAAATTAAAGAGCGAGTTCTGCATGTATTAAATAAAGCGCCCTATTCTTGACATCGTCGAGACGGAAGAACTGGTCGTTTTTTTGAGATCTACTAGACAAAGAGCGAGTCTCGTTTCATCGTCTCGATCATTACAGAGACGCTTAGCAAATTTTTCCGTCAGCTGTGTAGCTGCCGTTTAACACGGAGTATATATACCCCGCGCAGTATATATACCACGGAGTATATATCCTCTTCACACCCGAAGTTAAAATATTTAATTGAAAAATAATTCGTGAAGTTTATATGCTTGCTTTCTGTCTATAGATGGGAAAAAAGGAATTTTTTTTGGTACATGTATATTTGGGGACTAAAAAATTTAGGTACACATATGTGTACCTTGGGATTCAATTAAGTAAATAATGTCATATTTTAACACTTGTAAATTTTAATATTTAAAGCCGCCATTAGATTAAAATTTAAATCACATCAACAATATATTTCCATACATCCAATTTGATGTCATTAATTAGAACTTTAATAATATTCATCTTTACCACATATTTTTGTTTAAAAAGTTTAACTAATACTTTTAAAACGAATCCCCCCGATGCTTTTTTTTTTTCCAGATCTAGTGTTACACCTACGTGATTCAAGTGCAACGCTCTGATAAATTGCAAATGTTAGCTCGCAAGAGGCGTTCCTGCTATCGTCTGCTAAAGTCGAATTCAAGTGCAACGCTTTACCGCTCTGGTAACTGATGACGTCAAAATTGCAATGGGGAGCTGGTTTGCTCTCGTGCCAGGAGAGCTTGTCCGATAAACTACATCAATATCCAATGAGACTGCGTGTCGATGTAAACAAAAAACATCAGTTCCCATGATTTCTCTGAGCTTATGGTCAAGTGTTTACTGCGTTGTAGTGTGGTGTAACGAATTGTTCCAGTCCTGAAAACGAAAGGAAATATACAGACATGTAATGTAATGTGTACAACTTTATTTACTTTATCCTATAGAAAATTCCCTCCAAAGTAATCTGGAGCAACAGGTGTGTGTAAAATATATTTTACTTTTCAGACAAAAATCCTTGCTTTTTTAAATATACACAATTTTTTTCCCATTTTCAAATTACAGCATTTGGTTTTAATTCTTCTAATAGTAAGTTTAATTTAAAATTGTGTTATATTTTTATTGTTTCAATGCAGATGCATGATTCTTCAGTGACAGTAGGCATGTTTACCATATGAAAATTAACTAGTTCTTGTAATATAATAAGCCCATCTATACAAGCAGATAAGCCTGCTGAACACCGCTATCCCAGTCTCTCTTTAAATCCAGGTGAAAAAGCTGGCTGCATGAGTGTTTCTCTTCATTTTTTCAATGTATAACATGAATACTAAGTTTTCCTTAGTCTTCCATGCAGGCATTCCTTCCCTTAGACATTCATTATGTGATGAAACAGTTAAGAGCAATTTTAGATTTATATTGTACATCGTTGGGAAAATATAAAAATGAAATTAAAGGTATTTCAATGTAATACAATAAATAAAAATTATATGAAACCTGAATTGTGAGTGCTAATTCTAATGTGATATTAATGTAATATATACATCCAGAGTAAAGGTTTAATTTATAAATTATGCTTTGTGTTCTGCTCATTATATTGTGCATTTACAGTACACTTTCTGCTTCTTAAGTGAAAGTTTGGACCCATTCTCATTTGATATCAGTTATGTTCAGATTTATTTATTTCATAAAATTTCAAAAAACAATTTTTAAAAGCTATTAAAAGCTACAAGTAAAAGCTTTACAAGTGCATGAAATCAATATTGTACTTTAATCATTTTCTTTTTGGTCAGTACTTTTCTTGCTTTTAGCATAACCAAACTATCAATATTTATCTAAGTTGGCAAAATGTTATCAACATATCAAAGGAAAAAACATTTAACAAATTTTAAAATACTAATTTGAATTATTAAATAAAAATTATATGATAGTTTAAAAAAAATACATTTTCCACAAATTTTTTGTCTAATTTTTTAGCACTGTTCTTCACTGCTTGTGCCAAGTGATCTGTTTTCACTTAAAAAAAAAAAAAAAAAAATCAGAGAATTACATAAACTTGATACTGCATGCCTTGTCTATGTACCAAATTCATCTCATAGTTGTTTCCATTAGAAATTTTTGTACTAAAATATTCTATTCCTGCAGAACTTTTAACACAGCTTCTTCTTTTGATGGTAAGCTCCACAAGCAGTATTTTAAATCTGAAATTAATCTAAAACAACTATTCGTATCTAAAATCCATTGGAACTTGAAATACAACATAAGGAACACATATGAAAATGGTGACATTGCTTGAATGAAAAATTGTCATGAGCATGTTACCTGAAAAATTTTGATACATAATCGTTGCCAGAGTTTGGCACATTTTTGAAAATTTGGTAACTTTTATTAAGGTGGTTTCAATAATATGCAAATATCTTTTATTCTTATGATTGCTTCATTGTATACTTTTTCCCTTTCCCTAGAGTGCAGTACAATACCACAAGTTTTCCAGCCAAATGCGGTATGCATTTCAAGTTTCTATACATTTATATAAATTTTAAGAGAGTAAAATATTGACAAAAACTGCATTAAGTTTTCAACTCTTGTTTTGTTTTTCATTAAAAATTTGCTACCATTATGTATAATTCATTTTTTTAATGTAAATGTTTTTAAGTATTTGTAGGATAAAGGCAAATTACACTTATTCATTCTTTCTTTGATATAATACATGTAGCTCTTTACCTGAAATCAATGTTTGTCAAATTATTGTGCATAAATTAGAAGTATGCATGTTTCTCTTAAGTCAGTTATGTTTCAGGAACTATCTTTAATGAATTGTATAGAAAATTGTGGACGAGGTGTTAGGTGTACAGGAACGTGGTATATTATAAACATGTATAGTATCTCATAGTATATAAACTCATAACTTTGATTATGCAGTATGCTTTGTATATTATTTCTGAAAGCATGTATATTTCAATCAAGATTGTTGAGTTAATTGTGCTTCTTTTATGCTATCTGAAGCATGCATATTTCAATCAAGATTGAATGCTATCTCTGAAAGCATGTATATTTCAATCAAGATTGTTGAGTAAACTTTTCTTACTTTATGCTATCTCTGAAAGCATGTATATTTCAGTCAAGATTGTTGAGTAAATTGTGCTTATTTTATGCTTTTTTTTTCTTTTTTACATTAGAAAATTCCACACCTTTTATCACGAGGAAATCTGCAATGGCATTTAGGAATGACAAGTTTGTATCTATTACATAAAATCTAATGTTTTCTGGATTCTTCTTTTCCTTTTTCCTCCCAACAGAAAAACTTTAATGGTATAAATCAGCGGTTTTCAACCTTTTGACTGTAGTGTACCATCTAAGCAAAAACTGAAAAACATTAATACCACCACTAATTTTACAATGATTATTTTTCAATTCCTCAATAGAAATATTAAAAACATATATATATATATATTGCCATTTGCACACTCTTTGTATTAAATATGTACACATAAAAAACTATTAGATTAAAAACTGATGATTACTTAATTATCAAAATTAAATTAATTATTCACTTGATTATCAAAATTTCAGTTATAATACTTTAATATTTAATTTCTTTATGTCTGCTCTTATTTCATTTAATGGTAAATTAGGATCCACTTTTTATTTTGGTGAGTATTTATATTTCAAATTTAACATGGAAAAAATCATTTTTCACACAAACAGGTTGTGCGAAAAGACAATACAAATTTGATAGCTTTATTTGAAATGCCTTTAAATTCTTTTTTTCGGTTCAGCCAAAAGTTAACAAGTGTGTCATTTTCCAAATCTTCAAGTCAATTTCGATCAAAGGAAATTTCTATTAACTATTCTTTTCTTTATGAGATTTTTGAATTTCATAGTTAAAAATATTTTGTTTCTTTGCATACCACCGGCTGAGAACCGCTGGTATAAATTAATTATAACAGATGTAAATTAATATTTCTCATACAAAAGAGTTATTTCAATTCTTTATTGCGAACATTATATACAGAGTATGTCTTTTATTAACAACAAGATTTTAAGAATTTAAAATAATAATCATTAAATCCTCTTGATCTATAAACAGTCTTAAAAATTATAAAGGGAAAAAAATTGAAAGTTAAAGAAATCAATATTATGAATTGTTCCTTTTTAGAGAAGTTTCATTGTTTAATTAATTATAAAAAGTGTTTTACATTATGAAATATAAAAATTAAGAATATTTGAATTTGAATGAATATTTTAAAATTTTCCCTCAGATAGAAGCTCAACTATTCGAAGCAGGAGACCGAAGAGAAAAAAGGAAGAGAGATGATATTACAGCTGCAGAAAAGGAAATAATTGAAACGCAGAAGAATATATTAATGTACTGTGTGAAATATGTGACTTGTATAAGCAATCAGTTGCAAATCAGTCTGCTGTCATAGAAAATCAAAATATAATTATTAATTTATTAAAAAAATAAATCATGCATTTCAAATATTACAGTGTTTTCATTCTTGTATGTATTTCTGCAGTGTGGGATTCATATTTTAATTGTAAAATTTACTACTTTCTTAATTTTATAAAATTTTGTGATTATAAAAATTATTTAAAAGAAATTCACAGATCCATTATATGACATAAACATTATAATAATTCTAATACCACTATTATAAGTCTCGTGAAAATATTTATGCATTTTACACAGC